ATTTTAAAAATCACTTTAAATCTATATATACGTTAGAATAAATATATTATTTTCTCTTTTCATTATCAATAGTATGTAATATTTTTCTCTCTCCCGTTTTTAACAGTGTGAAATGACCACTTTTGAAATTCGACACAACATGTTTTTTTTCTCTAGTGTTGAATTTTCTTTTCCTGCATTTATTTCTCAAATGACGAGTAGATACTAGGATATATATATATATATATGCATATGCTTGTGAGTATTTGCTATGTGATATTATCTAATTACTCTTACCAATTTAAATAAAATATAATTATTTAATCGTTAATACACAAATTTTATTTAATTTTTAATAATTTAAGAGCTATCACCAAAAGTATACATATATTCATCAATGTAGATGTATAGTTGATGTACCAATCCAAAAATCTATTTAGCATAAAAAATGGGGAAAACATTACAGTTATTAAATTAAACAAGCTTAAAATATCACGTTGTAAGACATTTTAGAATAGTTATATATTTATTAAATAATTTTTAATTTTGACTATTTATATATAATTATATAATCAACATTTAATCTTCCTCTTTCGTATAAAAAAAAAGTTATCACATAATATATATATATATATATATATATATATATATATATATATATATATATATATATCCATGCCAATATAAGGTGGGATTCCATTTTCCGGACCGAATAACTTTACATCCACTGCTGCTGCCATCTTGTGAACGAGGCTTTGTATGTTTAAGCTTCTAAAAAAATAATTTTAATGATGTATGATAAAAAAAAAAGTTGAAGATTTTTATTTTAGAAAGTAATTATAATTTAAGTTTCTTCCAAAAGCTGTCAAAAATAACTTGTAAAAAATAAATGGTTAAAATCAAACTATTTTTAATTAGTACCTAAGACTGACAATCTTACCTTTTTGTGATAAGGTTGTATTATGGGAAGATTGAGATGTTAATTTCTGCCTTGGCTTTTCTTAGAACCTTTTTTGTTTTCAGAATTTTGTTTGTCACCCAAATAATCGCTTGCGGGAGACTGCTTGCTCTGAACATTGCCTTGGCTTTTCTTAGAACCTTTTTTATCCTTTGAATCTTCCTTACCCCCCAAAGAATCGCTTGCGGAAGCATAAATTTTATGATTCCCAGATCTTGAACTCATTTTTTTCGACCAATAAAAATACTGAAAATGAGAGCAACAAATACAATGTGCTATTGTTACAAGAGTGTTTTTCTATGTGCTTTGGAGAGTTATGAACTAGGCGATTTATAGATGCTGGGTGCATGCACAGAACGCGTAACATGTAATTCATTTGTAAACTAAGCCTCATGCACAATGGTATTTCGTGATCACACGACTACAAACTAGCTAGTCCAGTTTGAAATCTTGAATGCTTGAGTTGTCTTCATTAATTCATGTGAAATTGCGAATGCTTTCCATTCTTTATTCATTTGTATAACCCACGCTAAATTTATTGTATATACGCAAGCAATTCTCTTATCTGTTGATTGGGAAACAGAAAATGAATCCATAATTTTAAATCCTTATATAAACTATAATCACTTGTCCAATTTCGAACTCGGAAGATTAAATAAACCCTAGCGAATTTATTGTGAAAAGCTGAATATATTAACTGTTGTGAAAAAGCTGAATTTATCTCCTTGTTTCAATTACTTTGTATTTTCAGTTATGAAATAAAACTGGTGAGTTTAATCTTAACCAGTGAACGCGTAGCGGATTCCATGTTCTGTGACTGATATGCTGGGAAATGAAGGGGCATTTTCGGTGTTTGAAGAAGCGAGTCAGAAGTTGTTAACGCGTCGCGCATTCATGTGTTGGTTTACGAATTCAAAGATCAAAGATAATAATATTTGGTTCTCTGATATATGATCCTTCTTATGCAAGGATACAGTAAATTGATGCTTTATTTCCCAGATGTGAAGACCGTAAATGCAACCGGCCTTCAGCTTCATTGCCTCCTGAGTCTACCGGTTCGTTATTCTGCGTTTCCATTTAAGAAATTTCTGAAAAAAATACTCTTATAAAAAATTAGTATTTACAATTTATATACGAAGGTTGATTGACAGTGAAAAAAGGGTTGCCATTAATTTTTTTATTCAAATAAAAAATAATTAGAAAAATTATTTAACAATAATATTAAGCTTTAAAATTTTCATTATGCATAGAAAATAGGGAAATTTGAAACTCTGTTGTATAACAAATATGGCCATTTAAAAAATAGTTAAGTTATAGTTTGTGGTGAAATTAATAATAACTATTAAAATTTTTATTTTGCCCCTAAAACAAAAAATAATATGATATAACTGAAGTTATTTTTAAAAAATATTTCCACAGAATTTTTCTACTTTAATATGTACCAGAGCAATAAATAACTCAAAAATATAATTCACTTTTAGTTAATCTAATTTAAGTTAATTTTAAGATGATTCAACAATTAAATCAATTAATTATAGATTTTTTTGAAAATTATTAAATTAATTATATAGCATTAAAGTTTGACATTTGATGTTAACAAACACTCTGACTTTTATTAACTAAATTAACTCTTTAAATTAAATTGAGAAGAAAATGTAAGACTGATATTATTGAAAAAAAAGGTCTATCAAGTTATCCCAATTAAAGTATTTCTTCTTCTTCTTCTAGGTTAAACAAGTTTTCTTAACTGAATTAACCTTATAATTTAAATTGAAAAGAAAATATAACAATGCATAAAAGTATATGAGAACATGGTCTATCAAACATCTCAACTAAAATATTACGTTTTTTCTTTTAAGGAAAGAGTTAACAAGTTCTCCAAATAATCAATTTCTTAATTTAAGACAAGTTACAAATAAAATGATAAGGAATGGTTCATCAACTTGTCTAAGGCAAAAATTTCCCTTTTAAAAAGGAGAATTTACGAACAATTTCAACCAAATCAAGGCCTTTATTTAAATTAAAAAATAAGTAGAAAAATTAATTTTATTTTATGAAAAATGTTACATCAAATTGTTCTAATTAAACTGAACCTTTTCAAAATGTGAGGGTTAACAAGTTGTCTAAACTAACTTCTCATTTTAAATTTAAAAATAGATATAAAATAGTAAATGAAAATCAATAAACCGAGGTTGACGGAGATGACAATAAACATTATGTAAAATATTCACACAATATTGTTTCCAAGCAAAAGAGAAAAAGAAAATATTGTTTTTTGGCGAAAAAAGTTCAAACTCTTACACATAGTTATATAATAAGTAAATAAAAAAAGACATGCTATTTAAAAAATTAAAAATCAATGATTATTATTTCTTATATTTAATATTTATTTTGGTATATTATATTTCATATTTTATTATGTATTTTAACAAGCCCAAATCATTAATGAAAGCTAAACTATAGAATCGAATACAAGTACCCAGAAGAAAACCCATCAAACTATATTCAGAACCTCGCTGGCCCAGACTGGCAGTGAATCAGCACAAATATTTACTTATAAATATTCCCGAAAATTAAACCCTCTAAAATTGTCGCTTTTAATTTATTACTTTTCTTTAGCTATTGAGTTGTCTCGATCCAAATGACATGTAAACCTTATCCCATTACGTGAAAGTGACAATTTTCTTAGATATGCATCCAATTCAGACTACGGTCTCTATGATGGTTTAGAATCTTGTCCTAATTCACTGCGATGGTGTAGGATTCACCCCAGACCAAGTGGAAACTTTAACAAAAAGAGAGAAAATTTTAATCCAAATAAAGGAATGCTTTGGTTGTTTTTTTTGTTTATAAAAAATAGAAAAAGAAAAAAGTTAAATGAAAATAAAAACATAAAAAATCAAGTGCATAAAAATAAATGAGTTATTTGTCAGAGTAATAAAATATAGAAGAAAATTGTAAGAGAAATTGCGTGCTTCAAAGTGAATCTTGCATGAACTTAAGGTTTGATTCCTATATATCATTATATTCCTTAAATTGAGCCATTCTCATTCTTTTTCTTAAATTGAAGTTTTTTCATTTTCAAAATTTTCCATTGCAGGAAAGACTCTTGTGCCTTGAAAGGATTGTATTCAATTCGGAGATGTGAGTATAATTTTTCTATTTTGACTCGTGTACATAACACAGTTGATTGATTGTTTGTTTGAGGATAGATTGTGTTTTAATTAGTTGTTACATTAAACTACATAAAAATAAAGAGGTTCTTTTTCGTAAGAAAAAGAAAAAAAATGAAGGAAAAGAGTAAGAGAATTTGCGAATTTCAAAGTGAATTTTGCATGGGCTTGAGGTTTAACTGCTGTATATTCTTTTATTCCATGACATTTTTACAATTTTCTTCCTCCCCTCAGCTTGTCCCCATTCCAACATAAATAAATTCCTTTGTGTTTTATGCTTTTATGCTTTTATGTGAATGATGTGATGCATTTTTTAAATTTTGGCAGGTATGGTACCGTGGTTCCATTTGGTGATGCTTGGTAATGTGGACAATTTTTAGACACTTGAGTTTGAGTGTAAACAACGATTTTTTTCGGAAAAGTTGATAATTTGGTTCATACTTTCTCATTTGCAATGACTGTAATCCGAGTCTTGAGGTTGGAAATAGGTATTTATGACTCTTGCAATGTTCACGTTTAGAAATTTTCCTAACTTCAAATTTGTCGTCTTGGAATTTCACCATTGCAAGAAAAAACACTCATGACTTGGAAGTATTGCATTTTGGAGCTCTCGAGATGTGATTATCATCATTTTCCTATTTTTACTCACATAGCTCGTTGATTAAATTTTCTTTTTTTAAATAGTTTGTGTTTGAAGTTTAATCGTTGTATTTTATTTAAGGACGGACACAGTTAAAGTTTGGGTGTGTGATAATTTTGAAATTTGATTATTATTTTACACTAAAAGAAGGAAAATTTCTTTAACTCTGCTCGAAACTTACCCTTCCTCGTACACTTTGTTACATTTTATAGTTCCACCAAAATAGAAAAATAATAGAAACACAAGAAAGGGATTTAAATTTGATTTTTCTTTATTAAATTTAAAAGGAAATTATGCTACTTCACTGAAAAACCCCCTTAGCAATATTTACTACCAACCATATTTCACAAAAAAATGTTTCACATTTTTTTATTACAACTTTAACTAATCATGATTAGGTTTTTAACCAAACGTTGTCGCCACATTTCCATCCACGTATAGCATTTTCTTACGAGGCTTAAATAGGGTCCTACGATAGCAGGTTGCTTTGATGATATCAAACCATAGAGAAAACTTCAGAACTATAAAGATGAGTATGGGTAAACACGCAAGTACTGAAATGGAACTAGGAATCCACTTGAAACCGTAGTTGTACGTTATGAAGAAGGCACTACCAAATGCCACCATCATGCTTGTTATGGAGATGAACAGCGTGAACAGTCCAAATATTAGCTTCAAGGGTAGTGACCTGTGAAAATCATACTCGGCATAGCGTGAGATGAGAATAGACAAGAATATTAATATTGCAGTTGCAGATGAGATGAGTGCCATTGCATCTGATATTGCAAACACTAGGAATGATGCTTTGTTCAAGTAGTTTGGTTTTTTTGTTTCATCGTCCATGCCACCTGGTACGCTAATCGCAGCAGAGAAAACTCCAGTAGCAATGACGGTTGAAATAAGCATACATGACTCTGCAGTGCGTTTCATCCAAGCTTCTGCTTCTCTAAGTAATTCTTTATGCTCCCTTGTGAATAATTCTTGAGCTGTTAAGCCTTCAGAATTTTTCATCCTTATGAATGATAGCGGTATTATGTGCTTCACCTCCTGTGATATGAAATGTTTCAGATGTTATATCGAGTAAGGGACTCTATTGTTTCTGAAAATATTTTTTATTATAATAAAACTTTCACGATTTTGTTTTCATTCTGTTTTGTGTTTTAAGTATTTTTATAAAAATAAAATATATTAAAATAATTTTTTACAAATATTTAAAAATAAGAAATAAAATGAAAGTATGATGAAAATTTTATAATTAATGTGAAATTAAAAAATAAAAATAGAAATTTTTTCTTAAAACTAAAAGACTCTTGATTTATTCACGGTTTACAACTACGTGCAAGAAAAAAATCCGTCGATACAAATAGCTGGAACATTTGTGATTTGTCATACATATATGATTATGTAATATGGCCGATTGCCATACACAAACGGAAATTCATGATACCCAACTCCCTATGTTTGGTATGACAATAAAGGAATTTTCAAAATATACATGATAAATATACGATTGGAATGTGTGAAAATGCAAACCTATAAAATTAATGGATCGTACCTCAAACCATGATATCTCAAGGCTCATTTGGAAAGCTGCTCCAGAAACTAATTCAAGTTGACTAGGTGGCGCTAATTTTGCAGCCAAATGCAGTAAAAGGTTCTTGTCTTCGTTTCCTTCATATGTCACTATAATATCTTTTACGAACCCTATTTCGTGTATGAGATTGTAGATGCTAGCATGGCGATGCAAAACAGCTGTGTGAATTATACTTCGATTCTTGCTGTCCACTTCCCATATCAAGCTTGGATAAGCGCTAATAAGCTCTGACAAGAACCCAAAATTACCAACTTGTGCAGCATCAAATAGTAGTTGAGAAGGTCTACTTATGATGTCAATTATCTTCCTTTTGGAGTCTGTGTTACTGATAATCGTCTTCCAGAGACAATTAACCAATTGAAAAAACACATGTTGCTTCATGGCTGCAACACAAAACAATCGGGGCATCTGTCACCTTCTTATAACAATAATTATAACATTAACATTAACCAATATTTTATTAATACTAATTAAAGAATTATATGTAAATTTTTATTAAAAATAATATATTTACACTTTATTTTGTAATTTTTAATATATCTTAACATGATTTTTAATTAAAAAAATGTGCTTTTTATTCTCTAGACAGTACTTACAAGTCCTAAATAAGAATAATAATAATTCAATCACCTCGTCTTAGTTTTCCAAATAAACGAAGTACAAGAAGGATTTACCAGGGTTGATCCTGATGAGCATTGGAGGTTCTGAACAATGGCAACAAGAATCCAAAGGCTTCTCATTTTGAGCCAGAAGATGCAAAGCTGTGAAGCCGTTGTACTCCGGATCCTCATCACGCGCAAAAGCTAGCATTTTATTATCTCTTACCATTTTCAAGGCCAAGCCTGCAATTCAATATATATTTCATGTACATTTTCATCAGGACAACAAAAATAATTAACATTTACAACTATCTCTAATAATAAGTTGAGGAGGCGTAAAAACCTTAGTAATACGTACGATAGTTGCAAGTTTTGATACAAGTGAAAAACAACAAATTCTGATTCTTATCAGCATCATCATTCTTGAACATATGTTTGGTCATGGGGTACAGCTTGCATGCCATTGGGCATCTTCCTTGCAAAGCAGCAAATTGAACTGGGTACATTCCCTCTCCACCAGGGATTGTTGGCAAGTTCGGATTTCTTGTGAGCATTAACTCAGCAATGCGCCAGTTGCCAGCTGCAGCAACAAAGCAGAAGGCAGTGTTGCTCTTTTGGTCTTGCAATGCTATTTCATCGTTGTCCAGCAATTTGAGGAGCTCCACCACAAAGGGATGATGATTAGTGCTTGCAGCAACATGTAACACTGTTGGCCACCCGCCTGCTATTGCAGCTCTCTTCAGTCTTGGGTTCTCATCTAGAATGGGCTTCGCTGCTTGCCAGTTACCATCTAATGCATGCTTGTAAAGTGGCACACATTCGGTGAAGAAAGTTCGCATACCCTCCTCTAAATTAAACCAACTCAATTTAACTTTAGAATTTCAGTAATATATATATATTGAGCAACTTCTTTACTTCTGAGATCTATGCGTATGTACATATATAAAATAAAAATAATTATATCTGATATTATATTAAGCGTCAACTTTTATTTCTTTAGGCAGAATTGTTTTCTAATTAATTTTTAGGAAGTTTTAAGGACTTATTGGTTTCAAAATATGATTTTATTATTATTTTTAATTAAAAAATTGTATAAAAAATAATAATTTTTTTTTCACTGCTTTTATATATAAATATTTAAAAACAAAAAATAGAACATAAACAATGCAATAATTTGTAATTAAAAGTAAAAAATAGAACATAGTTAAAATTTAAATTATTACTACAGTGATTTTATCCAATTCGAACAAGAGAATATTTATGTTATAAACAAATTAAAACTAACTGGCTTCTCGGATAGAGTTAGATTGATGTTGTGTATATGTTTTTCTTGTTAAACCTTTGTCCATATGAGTTGAGTTAGATTGATATCTTATAAAAAGAGAGAAAGAATAATAGAATAGAATACCTGTATCTTCTAGAAAATCTAAATCAGGACGACAATATCGAGCTGTGGCGATCCTTTGTAGCCGTGAGTTGGTAGTTGTTGGATCCCCATTGTGAACTGCTGTGAGCTGCACTGCACCATTTGCTTCTGTTGAGTCGTCAACGACTAATACAACCACTGGGGGCTCACCTGTTGCTGAGTCCATACTTTGTACCGCTCTAGATTCAATCTCAATTTCATTCATCTCTGTTTTCAACAAAATTTAAATAAAGGAAAACAAATTCCAAGTTAACATTTCACAAGATTAAAATTTTAATCTACATGCACAAAATGTAATTAAGTTTGACAACTTCAAATAATCAATTAACTTCGTCTTTATGACATAAATGTTATAATGATATTATACATCACTTCACACCTATAAATTTCCAATCCAGATTAATTCTATAATGGGAAAGGAATACGTTGGAATTGGTTGGAATCAAATATAATCACTTAAATTTGTAAAGAAAAAGATATGTTAAAACTATATATTAATTTAATTTTTTTAAATTGGACTAATTAAAAATACTTTAAGTTTATATTTTTTTTACTTTTTCTTTTATATTCAAAAAAATAATTGTTTTATAATTTTTTTAATAAAGTGTTACTCTCTGGTTGTAATTAGACAATAACATATTGATAATTTTTTTTATCAGCTTTTATAGTTTTCACATTAATTTTATATTTTAATAGTATTCTTGATATTTTTTATTTAAAAAAGTTTCTCAAGAAAAAAAAATGACATTATTTTACAATGAGATTAAAGCACCTTTGATTGAATGAGATATTACATTCTTTATATGTGGTGAGGTAACAACATTGTTTCATCTTTCACATCACAAAAAAGTGTAATAATGTGAAAGTACTATTTTAAAAATATTCTAACTAGGGAAAACTTTATTTTCTATTTTTTTTTCTTAAGAATGTCGTAATATAATTAAAATTAAACATTATATTGATACAAAATATATAATGATAACACATGATATTGGTTAATATTGATGTAAAATTAATAATAACTGTACATAAATATTAATTGAAATTATATAAGATATGTGATAATTCTCTTTTATATGAAGTATAATAGTTCTTTTAAACTATAATTGTAAGGGTAAAAAATAAAAGTGAAAATTATGTCTAATTTAGGTAAGGTGAAAATTATTAAAATTGGTTAAAGAAAAATATTGAAGGAGATCAATACTAATATTATTTTAAGTTATGTGTTTCAAGCAGTATTAGTTGAAAACACTTTAAACTTATGTATGATTTTTTTAATTTAATTTAATTTTATTTTATTTTATATTATATGTCTTAAAAAGTATTGTGAGGTGAGGATTAAAAATTTAATGTAAGTGGATATATTAATTTATTGATTTAATAGTGTTAATATTTTTAAAATAAAATATAAATATATGATATATAATTATTTTTATTGATTTTAATAAATTAAATATTTATCTTTTTCTAAATAAGACTAGAAATAGTATTATCTATCTTACCAAACATACTCAAACTATTTTATTTAATATCTAAACTATTTATTGATAGACAAAGTATGTGTTGATATTGACTGTGATTTGAGAAAGAAAGAAAACAAGATAAAAAATGCACCCTGATGTCTCCTTTGAAACTGGTGATGAGATATAATACCACGAAAGCGGACACGTGTGAGACTCACATACGATTAATATTCACATTTGCCCTTTATCCGTTATTTTCACAAATTCATCAAAATAAAAATAATGTGAATATATATATATACACACACTACACACACACAGAATTATCTTCTACGCTAAGTTCTATATATATATAAGAGTCAATCATATATATACAAATTTCTTTCTCTAAATTATTGAAGTTTTATGAGGTTTAAATTAAAGTCTTATTTTAGAAAGAGATGTACATATGTGTATCAAAATAATTCATCAAGCTTTAAATTGTGAATTTTATTATAAAAATTTGCAAATTTAACTAAATGTAATCAGTAATTAATAAATATATCAAACAGTGATTGATTACAATAAAATGAACTGTGATCTCAAGTCTTTATTTACCATATTAAAAGCTCTAATCATAATCTCATCGTTTTAGAAAAGGTCTTACTTAACCCTCAACTTAATGATTAATCTCATAGATTTATTCAGAAGGATTCCGAATAACAAGTAACACATATTTAGAGCTTGTGCAATTCAGCGGTCAAACTTTTGCTTGATGAAATTAGAATTTTTTAATATTTTAAAATTGTGTTACCTTTATTTTATAAATAAAACATCATCCACGCAACCTAGTTGTAAACGAACCCAAACAAACCATTAATTATTAATTAGTGACATTGTCTTAGTATCCTTAAAAAAGAAAAGAAAATAATACTTTGATACAACATTAATCTCCTTTGTTTTGGTCAAGTTTGGTGTTTTTGCAATTGATCATGAGCTAAGTACAGGTCAATTTTGGTTTCCTGCTAATAGGCTATTTTTGTGATTACACCAAGACTTCTTCTATTCTTATATTTTAGTACATTAGGATTCTTGATAACTTTTGTAAAGACAAAATAAAGAAGATATGCTTGGAATTTTTTATTAATTTAACTAGAGTTTTTTTTTTTTTTCTCATTTGACTTGTGCGCGTCTTTTTCCTTAATTCATTTTTCATGTTATTTTCATTTTTATGCATGTCGCGTAGTTCTTTTGGATCTTTGAAAAGGGTAGTAGCCCATTCGGCCATAAGTATTCTCCATTTTGTTTAATTTATCTAGTTGAATTGCATATACAAATGCTTATGATATAAATTTGATTACTAAATTTGTTGATGCAAATTTTAAAAAATTGATGTTATATTACAAATTTATTAAAATAAGATACAAAATTATTAAAATCATAAATTAATTTCATAAATTCTTTCAAATACTCTTTTTATGATTTTGTACTTTCTTTAGGTCAACATGACTCTCGTTACTTGCCTTGAAACTCAAGTCTTTTCATTTATATTTATTCCACTTGATTCACCTGTAAGTTAAATAAAATAAATAAATAATTGAACTAGCAAGTCAAAATGATAGTCGTTGAAGACTGACATGATTCAATTTGAGTTGACCCGAGGGTTTTTAAAACGATTAATATATAGCGTGCATGTTTTACAAGTTGGACGCAATTTCATCACTCACTTTATATTTAAATTACCTTTTTTTTTTTTTTCAAAATACCTTAGACCTTAGTTTTTTAACATATCGGAAAAGAAAGTCGTATGAGAATTATCAGTATGATGATCACGAATCATAGGGCCATGACGATTCTCTCCTGGGCAGGGTACGAAGAAAATAAGTGGAATTCAGAAATGGTAGTACTGAACCGAGTGAAACTTTGGAAATTAAATTAAAAACATGTTAGAAAAAATAATAAATTAAATTTAAGGTAAATTTTATAATTTATAATATTAAAAGAAATATAAATATATAATTATTTAAATATGAATATAAAGAGGCAATAAAAAGGGGAAGGACTTGGCGTTGACTTATGGGTGGCGACCATTTTGAGTATAAAAATCTCAGCACGAGCAAGGAAGTGTTAAGCCGTACCTGAAAAATACACGTAAATTTGAACGGAGATTTGATTCTGAATTTCCTCCTACAGTTAACACTTGCCTGCACAAAGATACGGAGGTAAATTCAAAGGGAGTTCATAACTGAAGAACGAAAGAAGAAAAGGAAATTGTTGAATCAAAGTGTAGGTTATAAAATTTAACGCCGCAGTTAAGAGCAGCTACGCATGAAGAAGAATACCGAAGCAGGAGTATATATATATAGCCATGGATAAAATAAAAATAAAAACAAAAATGTGATCAACTGAATATATTTAATGATTAATTTAAATTTAAAGTACTTATTTATAAAATAAAATAAAATATTAAGATTAAGACAGTTTTGTACTCTTGTCTCATGTATTTATTCAACTAAAAACGATTCCATTAGCTGAATAAAGAAAAAGATATATTTGTTAATATATATTTAATTATTATAATGTATTTACGATTGGATGACGATAGAGAAGGATTCCTCAACGCATGTCAATAGAAGAAATGGTGGGGAAAGTTCCTTTACATTGCTTCGTCTGTGGTTTCGCTATAATTTGGGATCCAAAGCCAAAGAGAGCTCAAACCCTAACACACGCCTCTCCAATCTCCACACTCATGCCTTTCACTGATGTATATCGTCAACGTGAAGCAATAACAGTAAAAGAGAATATTCTTTAATTTTAAATAACGACTGATGTCACAGATTTTAAATAAGTAATTAGTCCTTAAAAAAATATTTTTTAAAATTTAGTCCTATTAAATTTTTATTTTGATTTTAGTTTTGTAAAAAAAAAATTAAATAAATCTTACTGTTACCGCTTAAATTAACATTCATGATTAGATAACATCGTGTATCTCATCCATTTCTTAGGAATAATTGACGAATTAATATTATCTAAAATTAAAATATTATTTTTTGAGAAGAATTTTTAAAATGATTAGAAGCAGTTATATTATAAGTTAAAAAGACTTACTTTAAATTTATAATTCTATTTTTAAATAATGTAAAAGTTCTTTATTATGTGAGGTAAGAAAATTTACTTTAATTATTTTAAGTTTTATTTTAAATAATAGAAATACATACTCTTTTTTCATAATAAAAAAAAGTAACTAACAAACTTTGAAACGTTGTATGTTGAATATAATGATGAAAATTTATCTTATTTAAGGTTTATAAGACTAAAAAAAATAAAATCAAAAGGGACTAATTTCAGAAAGTATATTTTGGCAAAACTAAAATAAAACAATAATAGGAATTAATTCTAAAAAAATATTTTTTTATAGATTAATTACTTATTTAAGTTTTATTTTGTCTAAAGCTAACATTTCACATAGTTATGACGTGTAACATGTTTGCTTAGTCATCATTTGACAGCTCCAAGTGATAAAGACTATTTAAAAATAAAATTGCAAGATTAACTCTAACAAATTTTTTTTATAAGGACTAATTATAAAATAAGGTATATTTGTAGAGACTATTTATTTGTTTAAGTTTTTTTTTTTTTCTTTCCTCTTCTTCTTTCTTCTCTTAGACAATTTTTCTCCTCCTTTTTAAGTTTTGAATTTAGCATAATGACTCCACTAAATAAAACTAATGTGAGGGTAAAGTTCATGGAGACACAAATGAGGAATAAGGGAAAAGAAAATACAAGGATGATGAGTAAATAGAAGAAAAAAAAGAGGAAAGATAAGGAGAGGAAGAGGAGAAAAAGAAGGAAAAGCAAAGGGTGAAAAAAAGACAAAAAAGAGGAAAGAAGTCACGAGAGACAAAAAAAAGTCATAAGAAATAAGATGAATAATAATTTTTACGAAATTAATATTTTTTATAAAAAATGATATATTTAATATATTTTTAAAAATTATAAAATTAAATAAAAAAAATTAAAAAGTTAAGGGAGTAAAATCATAAAAAGTATATATATAGAAATTAGAGAATCAACCAAATATATAGTTTTACCAATAACTTGGTTATAGTGGTGGAGAAGAACAATCACATGATGATGGGGCTACAGGTGAAGCATATTAGCTTCTTCACGGTGTTCTAGGTCAGAGTTATGTGGAGGTCGCCAACCACTTTGCTGAACCATTTCACAATGCAAATTGAAGACGAAAAAGAGAGAGAGGAGAGAAAGACACAAATCTAAAGAGAGAAAAACTTAAGCAACGACAGTATTAAAAAAAAAAGTAAAAAAGTTAGGGTTTAGGAGAGTAATGAGATGTAGAAAGCAATTATCTGGCTCGGTAGGTATTGCTCTAAAAGGCACTATTGCCAAATCTCTATAGTGGCATAACAATTTGAAATAAGTTAATTAACGATTGGAAAAAGATAAATTTTATTTACTATATAAATTACTTGACGACTAAATCAGTGAACAAACAAAGGTGGCTGCTAATCAGTATAGTGACCACAATTTTGATCGGTTGCTAATTTAATTGTTCAATGGTAAGAAAATATTGGGGACAAATTGGTAAACTTTTGGTTGTAAATGATGGGTGCAAAAACCTGTTTGTCAATCGACTTTGTAACCGATTTTGTGTTCACAAGTTCATTAATTGAGGTTTCATTTAAATAAGCTCAAAACTTGTAACTAGTCTTAGTTTTTGGTTACAAGTTTTGTATTAAATCATTATGCTCAAAGATTGTCATATATATGTTTCACTTCAATATCAGAAACTACATGAAAATGTATATCATAGAACTCATTATGACTACTGATCTACATTTTCTTCGGGTTCAAGTCAGTAAACTCAAAAGATGATAAAATCGTATATTAGAATTGGGACAAGTTGTGATAAGCTAGCCATATATATATTGAATGACTGTACTTGATGATTTTTTTTTTCATTTCTATTATATTTTTAAATAAATAAAATATGTTCCAATTTTTTTTAGTATATTCTTTGTTTCCAAATGAGTAAAATGGTTAAGTAATCCACAGTGATATGCAAAAATTATTGTTCATTCTTTGTGGTTGAAATAAGTAAAACGAGAAAAAGACTTGGTTGCCCAATTTGAACCTCAGGTTGGGGATCTTTTTAAAGATATTTTGCAAACTATTGTACGTACGAAGTTGTCCACGATGACAGATATGGACGATTATCGAAAAATAATAATAATAAAATATTAAAGTAATTTGAATATATGTCCAAAAAAAAAAATACTTGAGTTACTAATAGAAAAATATTGATTGTATGATCCTTAACTATGTAAAAGTAGATAAAAAAAACTTTAAAAAATATGTTTAAAAAAGCACGATAAACAATATTGTTTTAAAATTTATTTTAAAAGCCCTGTAATATCTTGTAATCTATATAGTGAATCTAAAATAAGATTTTATTATCGACATTGTAAATTACATCGATTACACATAAACCAAACTTTTCTAGTGGAAGATTCTTAAATAAACGTGGTGTATAAGAAATATTTAATATTATCTAGTAGCATGTAAAATAAAATAATTATAATATTTTTTTTAATTTTGAAAAATTTTAAACTATTAAATAATAATTAAGTGCTAAAACCAAGCCTTTGTTGACGAAACTAGCTACCGAAGAAGTGACCCAACTCAAAAAGTAGGGGTCATTGTAGGGTGAACCAGGAAAGTTTTGGACCACCTCTGATCCACCTTATTTTAACATTTGCATCTTCCACTTTTTTAGATACGTGACACCCACAATTCATAATTGATTTGCATTTTAACCTCTACACATATTTTACTTGGAAGTGATTGTATACCTACATGCACTGTTCATAGAAATTCTGAGACCCAAATTAACTCTGAAAACAATATCTCCAACTGGAAGAGCCGAATCACTTGGTAGAAGAAGTAACCATTGAACCTAGCAGCAGCCACTGAACAAGTAACTATCAAAAGAGATCATGGGGTGGTGGAGTTGATGGGATCAAGTCTCATTCATGGTTGTAGGTAGTTTCTGACAAAAAGCATGACTATGGTGTCAAGTGCCGGCAAGAGGTCGTTCATGGTATATAGCTGGGTGTTTGAAGAAGATAATGTCTTTTACTGCAAATAAAATTCATTAATTGTTAAATTTTGAAAGCATCTTTTTAAGTCAATCCCAACCATTCATGTTTTAAAATGCCAAATAAAATGGATGAAATTTGATTGACCCCGATGGACCAATATTAGTTGGACCACCAAAGTCGATCCCAAAAAGTAGAACCATTAGCATTCTCCCAACTTCATTGGATCCAGCAATGCAGTTAAGTCATGTTTGTTCCGACATCAGGAAGTAATTGACGTGTGCTTTAAAAAGTAATTAGGAATAATATCCAAAACGGGCCTGCATGCTATTTTTACTGCCATCCAAACACGCACTTAGTCATGGACCCATATGTTTTGTTTGCACGTGAACAAAATGAGAAAGGAAAAGAAGACAAAAATAGAAATATGAAATATTATTTTAAAAGTTAATATTTAAATTATCTAATTTTATTAATTTAGTTTAATCTTTTATTTTTTTATTTTATTTCATATTAAGGACTTATTTGTTTTTCCATTTGAAACGAAGCTACGAAGAAGCAAATATTTTTGGCTTTATTGAAAAGCTGGACGTTATCGGAACTTTAGTGCACATGAAACCGAAACAAGCTCCGACTTCATAGTGCTATCTCAGGTGGAGCCAACGTCCGTAACTTCAACATCGACAATGCGAGTTGAAATGATGTTATTCTGTTGGTTGTCTGGAGTTGTCTCTTGGTAGCTTGCATCTTCTTTTTTCTCTCTCGGCGAGTTTCTTCTCTAAAAATAAGATGAAAAACATTTCGACAAATGAACCAAAAACTCAAGAATCGTCGAAGAGCCAAAAAGAAGATCCAGCAGTCCAAATTAAAAAGCCGATCACGTAGATCCTTAATCTATCTGACATTGTTAAATAAGAAATTAGACCACTAGTATTTTGTAAAGCATTTTCTACTATAATGTGTTATTCTACCTCCAATATGACATTGGGTCAGACTCGTGTATATCATGTCGATTAGTTGAGGGTGGTGGTGGTAGAGTTGCAAGCTTTATGAAGAGGGAAAGATTTTTAGGAGACACCTTGTTTGCGAACAAAACTTTATGGGAACTCATTTGTAAAATCAATCAAAAGGATCAAATAAAAATATGTGAAACTTGCTGTTATAGGTTTTTGATGCTTTGTGAAGGCACCTATTAACTGTCGAATGCAGATGATTTATGAGACATGAAAATTAATTGTTGTTTGTCTCTTCCAAGATCCTAGAACACACTGCCTCACACTCAAGATGGGAGAATTTGTGGGGCCAGCCATATATTTTTTTTAGTTCTAATAAGGTGAGGATTACTTTAACTTTTATAAGTTTTTATTTAGCTAGCCATATCTATATAGTTGGGACTTCAACAATTCACATATAAGAAGTAAATACACTCAGAAGAGAGGACTTAATGTGGTCACACATTTGTAAGGAAATCAAGAAAGAGGTTCTGCAAGACCTTAGAGAGTAGGTTGAACTGCCCTGCCTCTAAGAGGAGGCATTATGCAAGAGCTGCAAATTTAATAGAGCGGTTAAGAACCTTCCTCTACAGCGGTACTAGATCGCACTTGATCTTCAATATTATTTGTTAAGATGAAGTAATACATTACAAGTTACAACTTCAACAAATCAAAACCTTACTCTTGATTACCTCACCTCTCCTTCTCTTCTAAGTAAATCATGCTTTTACTTGGCTTAAATAGATTCCTACAATAGTAGGTTGAGTAGATGATATCTGACCATAGTGAAGATTGCAGTGCTACAAACAGAAGTATTGGCAAACCTGCAAGTACTGAAATCAAAATAGGAATCCACCTCGGACCATTGTTGTACATTATGAAGAAGGCACTGCCAAATGCCACCATCATGCTCGTTATGGAGATGAATAAAGTTATCATTCCAAATATTAACTTCAAGGGCAGTGACTTGTAAAAGTCATACTCCGCATAACGTGAGATGAGAATAGACAAGAATATTAATATAGCAGTTGCGGATGAGATGAGTGCCATTGCATCAGATATTGCAAATACTAGGAATGATGTTTGGTCCAAGTAGTTTGGTTTTTTTGTTTGATCATCAATGCCACCTGGTATGTTAATTGCAGCAGAGAAAACTCCTGTAGCAATAACGGTTGAAATGAGCATGCAGAACTCACCAGTGCGTTTCATCCATGCCTCTCCTTTTTGACGCAATCCTTCATGCTCCCTTGTGAATAATTCTTCAGCAGTTAAGCCTTCAGAATTTTTCAACTTTATGTACGATGGTGGCATTATCTTCTTCACCTCCTGTCACGTGAATTATTCATGTAATATTATTTTTATCTCTTACTTACCTTTTATTATTTTTCGTGTACACGTATTCAAAAAATACATTTAAAATATAAAAAAACGTCTACAGATGTCTACTTTTAGCGGTACAAAAAATATTTTCTTTTACCGTTTATGCTTTTTTGTTGTATCACTATAATCTCTATATATACTGTGTCACAAAACCTTCTTTATCCCCTATTTTTGCTTGATTTATGTATAATTTTAGGCTTATTAATAACCCTGGTTTTGACTTGATTTAGATTTTTTTTTTTTACTTCAAACTATATTTTGTGGAGGGTGTTGATAAAAAAATATAGGAGGTAACTTGAGAAAATGTAAAACTAGAAGTAAATAAAATGATGTCATGTTATGTTATAAGCAGGGGAGGGGAATTCATGGTTCCTATCTATGTTTGGAATGATTGTAGAATGCCGTGGGAGCATACAAGGAGTAGTACAATGGGAAAATGCAAAGCCAATAATATAAAGGAGTTACCTCAAACCATATTAACTCAAGGCACATTTGGAGGGCTGCTCCAGAAACTAATTCAAGTTGACTTGTTGGGGCCATTTGGGCAGCCAAATGTAATAAAGTGTTCCTATCTTCCACAAAATATGTCACAATAATTTCCTTTGTAGGCCCTATTTCGTGTATGATATTGAAGATGTTAGCATGGCGTTCTGAAACAGCTGTGTGAATTATGCTTCTGTCTCTGTTGTCAACTTCCCATATCAAGGTAGGATAAGCACTAATAAGCTCTGACAAAAACCAAATATTACCAACATCTGCAGCATCGAACAACACTGGAGATGGTTCCCTTATGATTCCCATTATCTCTTCTTTGGAGTTTTTTTTGCGGAGAATGGTAGTCCAGAGAAACTTAACCATTTGAAAAACCACATGTTGTTTCGCGCCTGCACTAACAAATTTTGTTACTTGCAATGAAACAAGGGTAAAATAACAGAGGAGTTTATTAGCTTCACCATCAATAAAATTTCAAGCCTGATGTATCAATTTTCCTAATAAATAGTGAATGAAAGAACTTACCAGGGTTGATCATAATGGGATCTTGATGCTCTGGGCAATGACAACAAGAGTCCAAAGGCTTATGAATTAGAGCCAAGAGATGCAAAGCTGTGTCCTCGTTCTCATCACGTGCATAAGCTAGCTCTTCCGTCTCTCTTGCCATTTTTAAGGCCAAGTCTATATCAATATTTTGTCCACTTCAATTAAAATAAATAAATAACCTTAAAAATGTTTTAAATCCCTATTTTTTAAAATTTATTTTATCCTCTCAATGTATTTATTTAATATGTTTTTAAATTTCGTACTACTTTTACTCTTTAATGATGGCATGGTAACATACAAAATTGACGTCAATTTCTTAGTCATGTTATCATTTAGGATTAAAAAAGTGTTAAATTTACAAAAAATAGATATTAGAATAAAATAAATAGAATGATCAAAATGAAAAGCTAGTAAAAAAATTAGGACTCTAAAGTTAAGCATATATAAATATATAAACATGCATGCTCATTTCTTGGGTTAAAACATATATTCAATATCTATGATTGACATTTGACACATTACACTTTAACCTTTGTCGTTTTAATGTTGTTAGAAAAATGTTGATGGGATAATTTAACCAGTAGTAACTACTTCTAACAATATTTAAACAATGAAGGTCAAAGTGTAACAAAATATAAATGTAGGAACTAAAATAAAATGTAGGTCTATGAGTATAGCTAGTAATTTATAAATGAATGCCAATTATTATAGCCATATATATACTGTGCTAATGTTATTTTAGTGATACGCACGGTAGTTGCCTGTTTTGATACAAGTGAAGAACAATAATTCCCGGTCTTCCACTTCGAATTTATGTTTGGTCAAGTCATATAGAAACCAAGTCATTTCGCATTTTCCTTGTAACGCAGCAAGCTGAATAGGGGTACGTCCATTTCTGCCCCTAATTACTGGCAAGAACGGATTTCTACCCAACAATAAACGAGCAATATCGAGGTTTCCAGATGCAGCAGCGAAGCAAAAGGCAGTGTTTCCCTTGTAATCTTGCAATGCAACGTGAGAGTCAGCGAGTCTTTGTAGTAGTTCCTTCACAAAGTGGAAATGGTTTGCACCTGTAGCAATATGAAGCACCGTGGACCAACCACTTGCTATTGCCGCGTGCCATAGTCTATCGTCTTTCTCCAAGATCAGTTTTGCTTCAAGCCAATTACCCATTACTGCAAGCTTGTGAAGAGGCACACAATACTCAAGAAAATTATCCATCGCTTCCCCTAAAACGAAGCAATGTTACATTTACATGGTATTCACTATCGATTATATATGCTTTAATAATAAAATGAATGAGTATTATTTTACTTACACACACTACGAAAAGTAGAAGGGTTGATTTTGTAACTTTAAAACAAAGAGTCCTACTTCTATTTTTTTTTTTAAGTAAATTATCATATTAGTTTTATTATTTCAAGGACTTACCAAAATAGTTTCTAAATTAAAAAAAAAAAAAATCCTACTAATCTCTAATATATAAAGATCAAGTGAATTTGTGCACACGTAGCTTGATGTTGGATGACATGGAATAATTGTTTATAAAATCTGTTAATTTAGTCCTTCAAATTCAAAATTCAAAAAATCCGGTATTTTAGTTCATATCGTCTTCATCCTTTTCCATTAACCTTCTTCCTCTTTCTTCATAGCTTCTCTCTTTCGGCGATCGTTTCGTCACCCTCCTATGATCCTACATCACCCTTGCTTGCAATACCAATCTTCATCAGCAGCGATCTTAATGTGGGTCTTCCGATCTACCGACCTCTCTTTATCATCGCTATCTCGCTCTTCTCCACCATGAACACCGTCGAGTTTCCCAACACGTTCCTCAGCGTCTCTGTACCCTAAATATCAACCCTAAACACCACATTGCAACTTTTCACCATGATCTCATGGATTTGTTGCTTTTGCACTTCTTGTCTAGACCATACATGTTGAATACTTCTCAGAGCTCTCTGTGTTTTAGATAGGGACTAAATTGACAGGTTTTAGAAATAATTACCCAACATTAAGCTAAGTGTACAAGTTCACCTGATATTTAATAATGTGTTACATTAGCCTTTTTGTTAGTCTAACAAACAGTTAGTAGTCCTAGAGGCCAACATAACTGATCTTGTATGAGTATTTCTTTTAACTTGGGGGGTCTTTAAAATGAGGGAGACTAACATATAATTTCCTTTTTATTTCCCGCAATTCTTTTGCACATCAGATTTTACATTTATAATGGAGATATGTATACAGTAAGAGGAGACAAAAAAAAGTGAAAAAATAAATTATGTAAGTTGGAAAGAGAAGGATAAAAAAAAAAAATTCCAAACAGTAAAAAATTAATGTTAGAATAATGTTACTCTTAACAAAAGCTTGAGAGGAGCGAGGGATAGAGTTGTACTTGTATCTGCTAGAAAGTCAAGGTTAGGAGAATTATCTTGATTCGATGCCACTGCTGTTAGGCTTCCTCGCGGAGTTGTAAAATTGACAATTACCCTTTCCCTGTCGAAGTTGGTGAATACTGTACAAATTTAGTTTGCTCATAATTTAATTTTATTAATTCATATTGTTGTCAATAATTTAATTGTTTTATTATGTTTCAATAATGTAAATATGTTTTGAAATCAACAAACACTACATGCACTAATTAAAAAGATAAAAAAGAATCATGCTTAGCATTCATATATCAAATTAAATTTCAAAATTTTAAATCTACGAAAAGACAATACCTGTCAAACTCCATGTCAAGCTCATCCCACATTTGTTTGGCTGTTTGGCACTCTGAAAGTTTTTCAAATGCATTTGGATCTATGGCACAGTATAAAATATTTTTTGCTTTTGCCTCCAATTTCATATTCTTCATGTCATCATCGTCGAATTCATCTTCGCATTTCTCTATTTCTTCATCATTTATTTGCTTTTTTGGAATTTTCGGTCCATTCTTTATCACAAGCCAAAGTTTGAAGTCTACAGATTGTATGAATACTTTGATATGCTCCTTCCAATGAATGTAATTTGTGCCATCAAAATATGGTGGCCTCAAAATAGATTTTCCTTCAGTGATAGTTGTGTTCATTGAGTTTTTCAACTGTTGAACCTACAAGAATATTTTTTTTTAAACTGGTCCGCTTAGGAATGTTAAATATGTGAATTGCATCGGTGCAAGAATTGTTCCCCTCGCTCACATTGTCACAAGTCATAACAACACACAGTAAAATTATTTAAATAGTTATATAATTAGCATTGAAATTGACCAACATAAAAGAAAATCATGGCTAAACTATTGGTAATTTTAACGACTCTTCTGTAGATAAACAGACGACGATTATGTCATTAATAATTTCTCAACAGTTTATTCATTGATACATTTACCAACAATTTGTTTTTAATAATGCATGTAACCTTACCCAATATTTTTTTATAATTTTTGTTAATTTAATTGACCATAATTTTCAACAATCATTGGATTATGATAAGATAAAGTATTTCAAAATTATTACCGTTCATATATTTAGATAGTATGAAAAAGTAATTTTAAAATAATAAAATACTACAGAATTTTAACTAGGTAATTTTACATCAAACAAAAAAATTTCAAATAACTTATTTTAAAGAGAATTTAAAAATATCTTTTTTATGATTATCATTCGTATCTCTTCTTATACGTTGACTCTCACTTTAAACATTTATAACATTCTTATTTTTTATTCTCATATATTTTAGATTTTTAAAATTTTCCACCCAAACATAACATTAAAGTTTATTGAAGAATATTATACTAAATTAGTATATTAGTCTCCTAACTTTTAATTTATTTTTTTTGTCAGTTTAGTTTGTTAACTTATAAAAGTATTTCATATAAGTCTTTTACTAATGGCCAAATGAGCATGAGTGAATGTCTTGGGTCCTTTTGTGGAACAATGATTGCCGTAAAGAAGAAAACAGTTGAAGCATTAACATTCTTCAAGCTCTGTGAAGGTGACAAGACAACGAATTGAACACACATCCTCAACACTTAATGACATGTACCAAAAGTTTAGTCTCCTAACTGTTGAATCAAATAATGAAACATGAATCAAAGTTAATATATTTTTATAACATGAGTACCGAGGGGTCGCGTGATCGTCATGAATTTACTCTCAATTTTTTTATGTACATGTTGTCGAGAAGTAGCTGTCAGTGTCAGTAATATTTCTTTTTAAAATTTAATGAATAAATAAAAATTTTGTTATAAATTAGTTTGTTTCACTTTCATATATATAGATATATATGCGCGCAAAAAAAAAAAAAACAGTAACGTGATAAAGTCAACGACTATGGGTATTGAATATAAAACAACTTAGTAGAATAGAAAAATCTTCCATTAAATTAATTAATTTTATAGCCAAATCATGTTTTGTATGAATATAAAAATATTGCAAACTTCCCGTAACTAATTACAGTTTTAAGTTTTTTTTTTTTAGGATTCTTTAATGACAGATCGAGAAAAAGGTCAGACAAAAATAACTGATACGAAGTTAAGCTGCGGATGATTTCATTGATTTTTTACTTATTAAGCCCATTTGCACTTAAATAAATGATATAACATTTTAGCATGGTTTTTGAAACTGATCGATCATTGTCTCATTTAACTAGTTAAAATACCGATCTAGAGTTTAAACAGTTGAACAGTAGCAATAATTGAATAACATTTTAAAAATAATTTATATAATATATAAAATAATATTAAATAAAAATCATATTAATCACAATTTTGTATCATAAAATAAAAATTATACACTATTTTAAATTCGTTATTTAGAAAAACAGCATCTATGAGAATGTGAAATTGTTACTGTAAATATCTTATGGACGTTAAAAATAAAGGGAAAAATGAGAAAGCTTTTGACAAAATAAAGGAATACCCCCCATAGTACACCAATTATAGTGCCTCTAACGCCGGAAAAGCTTTTATTACTATACCTATCAGTCACTGAAACTACTATGGGGTGTATGTTGGACGAAGACAGATAAAAGGAAAGGGCCATGTATTATCTTAGTAAGAAAATGACCTACTACAGAACTGGTATATCTATTTTGTTTAATTTGAAGTCATCTAAATTGGGAACAGATTTTTTTCTGCAGCCTACAATTTTAATTTTGTTTAAGCAAATCATTTAAATAAAAATAAAATTATAGACTGCAAGTTTTACTTTTTTCTCCATCTTTCCTCCTCATCTCAGTTGTCTCTCCTTCTTCTTTATCCTTTTTTCATCTCTTCCTATTTACTCTATCCCATCTCCTCTTCTTCACCTCTACCCAACCTTCCTCCCCTTCCTCATCTCTTCTTCCTTCACTTTCATCCAGTCTTCTTTTCCTTCTCTCTTTATCTAGCTCTCCTCTCCTCTCCTCTTCTCTTCTCCCTTCCCATTCACCCCCACTCATCCTCTCATCCAATTCTTTTCCTTTCCCTCTCTTAGCTTCATTCTCCTCTCCCTAACTTCCTCTCCCTTTCGCTCTTGCCTCATCTTTCTCTCAATTTCTTTTTCTCTTTTTCTTCTAGTTTTTTTTTGTCATTCTTTTTTTGTTATTCTTTTTTCCTTTTGCTTAAGTTATTATTTTGCTTAAGTAAATATAAATTGCATACTGCAATTCTTTTCAAAACTATAGAAGATCTGATCCATCTAAATTAATTTCAATTAGACAAATAGATAATTCTAGAGCACATTTCTTACTTGATGCATTCTAGAACTCCTATTACATTGTTTCCAATAATGCCATGAGGTCACCACATATATAGAACAGTACACAATCTATGTGAGGCACGGAGGCTACAGACAAAAAAATATGTTTGAATAATTATTTATTTAAGTATTTGTTTAATAATTTATATCATAAATTTAATGATAAAATTTATTGAATAAATTAAAAATTACTTATAAAAATAATAATTAATTTTTATAAGTTATTTATAAGGTTGAATTTGTATAGCTTCCTATCTGATAGTGGTGTACTCGACCAGAATGATTTTGGACAAACATATGTAAAAGCATATTTGTCTTATTATTGTTTTCTGTGAATTATTGTACGGCTTATTGAAATTTGAGCTGAACGAAGAAAATGGTGAGCACATACCTGAAAATGCAACTCTGCGAAGGAACTGCTCCTTCTGCTCAACACTTACCTGCTTGCCCATCAATGATCAACGTCAATAAGTAGTTTGGACAAATAAAATTAAGAAGGAAAGTTTGAAACTTAATTGTAAGGAAAATAGGTAGGTTCTTGAGCGAGTAGTAGAAGAGATTTGAAAATAGTGCAGATAATTAATGATGAAATGGAGAAGCAGAGAAACCTGAAGAGAAGAAGTTGGAAATTAAGATGTAAAGAATATTCTTTCCTTGCGCTGTGGCATTGGGATATAATCGCTTCTCCCAATAACAACGCAAATTCCTTCCATTTAAGCTTTTTTGGCAATTGCACGGTAACTGAGACTTGGGTCGTCAACGATAGTCAGCAATGTATATGAGAATGATAAGGAGATTACTGTTCCAAGTCAATTTAATTTATTGGGTCAATGCCCAATAATTTTGCATAATATCATATTTTAACAGTGTCCCATGTACACGGAAAAGACTACTCGAAATGGTTTACTTTTAAAATCATTAACTTGTCAACTACGTACTGTCAAATACTTTTTTTAAAGTTATACGTAAAATCTAATTATTAATTCATATAATTATATACTATTTTTTTAAAATTATCCTTTTCTTATATTTTTCTAAATCTTCCTCTATATTCAAAATATGTCATCGTGTCCATAAATTTAAAATAATATTTTATTTTTTTAAATTAACAGTTATAATTATTTTAATATTTTAAGATGAATTACTGACTTTCACTATAAAAAATATATAATACTTTCTTAATTTTTGAGGTATCATAAAAATTAATTTTAAATAGTATTTTTATTTTTATCAAGGCACGTGACTTATTTTGAAATGAATATTTACAATACAAAATTATTATTTAAATACATATTATTTAGTAATTTAGAATTATTTTATCCAAACATAACTTTAATCTAATTCATGTGCATTTTTTATCTTTCCATTTTAATTAATCAGATTGATTAACACCTCCTAATTTTTTACTTATTCAAATTAAAATTCTCACCTGAAAACTTTATATTATAATTATTATAAATATAATAAAAATATGATATATCATTATTTTGCATAAATTAGCAATAATGTATATATATATATATATTGTTTAAAAAATTATGGATAAAATATATAATTTTCTTATAACTTCATATAAGTCAATGATATATTTTATTTTTATTTTTTATTAGATAAAATAAATTAAAGTACGAGGATACTTGTATTAAATACTCGAAAAAAGAGTTATAATATGTAGAAGATAATTGTAGTCTAAAAATAAAAAGATATGAGAATCTAAGGTATAATTAAACCAATAAATTACTATATTATTTAATAAACTTGACATTTTATACATTATCAAACTTATTTATCCCTTCTAAAAACTAATTTAAATAACGTGATAATATGTATTAACATTAAATTATTTATGTTATTTTACTGAATTATGTTTAAAAGTTCAACATATAATATATAGAAGAGCCCATAGTATAGAAAAGAAAATATGTATATATATATATATATATATATATATATATATATATATATATATATATATGTATGTATGTATGTATAATCGGACGTTATGTATTTATGCATCCTACATAATATGTGATGTTTATAAACAAATAGGAGAAAACACGGAAAGATAAAGGAAAAAATATATATTGACCAGCTTTGCCTGTTATATGATGCCATACATTAGCTGAGCGTCGAAAGGGAATTTCAATCTAATAAGATTCACTAAATTTTTGGACTTAAAATTATGTACATTGGTCTTGGATTTGAGTTTTGCTATTGGTCATTAATTAGTAGGTTATCTACTTGCCTTCATTGCCCTTAAAATCTCAAGTCTTTTCTCAGTACTCATTAGTCTCTAAGGGCTCTAATCTAATGCAGTATAGTGTAATGCAAAATAAAATAGAGTCCAATAGAGTATTGTATGTTCCAACTAATTAAATGTCACTCCGTGAATCAAGTCACCTTGTTCTTCCCTTTCCAGTATCATCAATATCTCATTGTATTTTTTTTAATAATTGTTGAAATTGATTAAAGAGTGCATAAATGATATAGTATTATGACTAAAATTAATTAAAAAAATCCTTTAACTATGATTACTAAAATTGAATGCAGGCATTTGCAGAGATTTAATAATGGCAACCAAGTTGAAACGTGACACTCCACCGAGTTTGGTCTGGCCTAGGAAAGTGTTGTCTGTATAAAATAATTGAAGGGTGGCGCCAAAGTAAAACAAAATTAGAAAAAGATGGGATGATACAATTGACACAAAAAGTTTTGTAAGTTAATAATGGTGATTCCAACTTTTGGTGAATCCAGCTAATCGATCACGAAGAACCAGTAAAGTATCAAATCCATCGATCATTCAAAAACATTCTCCCTTGTCATATCCTATATTTACTCACTTTTATATGTTATTATTTTTCATCCTATATGTTTATTAAACGAGTTCTTTAAAGATAATTAAAAATTAATCTCTTTTAATAAAGTTCTATTTATAACGCATGAAAGAATTGATCAGTCGATGGGTTCCTCATCTTGTCTCCTCTTCAATTGATTAAGCTTTTCACTTTTGAGCGGTCAGCGCAAAAGTACAAGAAGCATTAACAGGAGAGGAAGAAAAGTTTAATCACTTGATTCATTAACAAATTCATTCATTGTGCCTTTTATAAGTAAAGGAAAGTAAGTAATAAAATATTACAATGCTTTAAGCTTAATAAATTTACAAAAAAATAATATTAATAGCTCTTTTGAGTATTATTTGGATAAGGTCATGTTCCACTGAGTGTTTATATGAGAGGGACAAGTCAAATATAGTTTATCATTAATATCTTTCTTATAATTTGTTGTATATGTTGAATATTGACTTTTATTTTTAATTAATTAAACGTAACATTTGATAATATTAAAAAATACAACTTCTCAAGTTAGGGACGCTAAAATACAGTAACCTCTAAATTAACCCAATCAAACCTACTAGTCTGGAAAAGCAGTGGGAACCCTTCAAGGAACACAACTATCTTCCCCTTTCTCTTCATTGGATACTTGAAGATAATCATCTATGGAAGACCCAAATTCGAAAGAAAGAGAATTTCAATAATAAGCATTCTATTGTATGAAATTAAATTAAATAAATTATATAAAATTCAAAATTTAAATTACTAATGAATTAACAAAACAATCACTCAATGATGAAATAATGACTTGAATGATAAAGAAAAGGGATAACCCTTAAAAGCTTCTCTGTTTTGTAAAGCTCCTAAACAATTTTAATTCAAGAATTAATATTCATAAATAATATATAAAGGTCAATAAATTTATTTTTTTTTAAAAAAAATTTATTTTTTTTAACAATAAACATTCTATTATATCAAAATAAAATTAAATAAAGAGATAAATTTTAAATTAAAAATACTTTTAAAAAATAAATTAATAAATTAAAATAGTATATACTTATGTTAAAACATTTCTTAAAATGAGACAAAACTAACTCTTAAAATGCTCTCATTTAATAATTAGTACCCACAATTTATACATAGAAGTTGACGTGATATTTCTATTTTTTAAGACTCCTATATTCTTCTCTTAATTTAGTATCATCTGTCTCTCTTTTTACTGACAAATCCATTGTTCATTTTCAAAATCACTCTTTTGATTAATGTTTTCTCTCGCTATTTTTTATTTTCTCAACAAACCCACTTTAATTTTTTTCCTTATCAAGTCACCAATTTTAAAAATAAATTTTATTCAAAAAATAAAAAAAGAATAATTTAAACTTAACTGCAAAAAATATATTTTTTTAGTTAATTTATTTTTTATATTACATTCAAACTAAAGTACTGTATATTATTTTTATGTTTTATTAAATTAAAATTCATGTAAAATAAATAAATAAAATATAAAAAAATCATATAAAAATCCATAAAAAATTGATTTAAACTTAACTGCAAAAAAACTACTTTTAGTTATTTAATTTTAATATTATATTCAAACTGTAAAACCATCATTTTGAGAAACAGTAACTCACAGATTACATGCAGACAAAAGAAAATTAGAATTTATTATTTAGCACAAGCTCAAATCATTTTAGCGAATCAGGCGTTTACTTGGTCTAAATAAAGAACTACAAATGTAGGCAGAATACACTACGTCAGACCAGAGAGGGAACTGCAGTATTATAAATAAGGGTATTGGTAAAAATGCTAGGGCAGAAATGAAGTTAGGAACCCACTTCAAACCATGGTAATATGTTATGAAGAAAGCACTGCTAAATGCTACCATCATGCTGATTATTGAGACAAATAATGCTACTAATCCAGATATCAACTTCAAGGGCAGTGATTTGAGAAAGTCATCCTCAGCATATCTTGAGATGAGGATGGACAAGAAAACTAGGATTGAGGTTGAAGATGAGATCAATGCCAAGGCGTCTGATAATGCAAATATCAAGAATGATGGTTTCTCCAAATAATTGGGTGATCCTGAATCGTCATTGCTACCACCTGGGATGCTGAAGGCAGCAGAAAACACACCAGTAGCAATAAGAGTTGAAACAACCATGCAAGAGTTTGCTGTTCTCTTCATCCAAGACTCCCCCTTTTTAAGCAATTCTTCATGTTCCTTGGTGAAGAGTGGTTCAGCAGCAATGCCTTCTAAATTTTTTATCTCTATCAATGATGGTAGCATTATTCTTTTTACCTCCTAAAGCATCAAGGGTATATACATAATGTCATGTGTGTATAACTATAAATTAACTTCATGAAATTATGTATGCATAAATTAAGGGGTAAAATAAGTTCATGACTCTCATTACGAGCGAGTTTTGTTAAATTAGAAGTGATAGTTAAACAATTTTGCGATTCTGTAATTTTCAATCAATAGTAAAAAAATATGTTTCTAACAATTTTCTTGTGTAAAAGTAAATAAATTAAAATATGAAAAAGTATAAGCTTAAAGAACATATATGGACTATACCTCAAACCATGACAGCTCAAGCATCATTTGAAGAGCTGCTCCAGATACTATATTAAGTCGATCTGGCGGGGCTAACTTTGCAACGCAGTGCAATAAAGTGTTCTCTTCATCATCCGTAAATGTTAATATGAAATCTTTGATTGGTCCTATTTCATGTATCAAACTGAAGATGCTAGCATGACGATACAAAGCAGCAACGTGAATTATACTTTGACCCATGGTATTCAATTCCCATATCAAATCAGGATAAGTGCTCATAACCACGGATAGAAACTCGAAATTTCCAACTTCAGCAGCAATAAATGTTACTTGAGAAGGTTCTCTTAAGACTTCCATCATCTCTGAATCATCCAGGGTAAGAAATATATCCCACATGTGTTTTATAAGTTTGAGGGCTGGTGGGTCCTTCATGCCTAGGCCACACAATATGACAAGTTAGTCATCTAATGAAAAAAGTAATGACTGTCAAAAACGATTCATCGAGGAAAAACAAAATACAATACACTACATTGAAAAATATATCCCTGCAATATTTTCATTATTCAATGATATATGGAATATAAATATAAATTGGAGATTATTGAACATCTTTGTCTTTTCAATATAAACCCAAATCTTAAAATTGTAGTGTTTACATGGTTAACATAATAATATTTAAAACATGTGATATTATTAATTAAATACAATTAAATAGTAGTGCTAATTTCTTTTTCAAAGTAAAAAGGTGGATAAAATAAAATAATGTGTAAATACCTTATAAACATAATGAAAAATGCTACTTGAACACTTCCTCAAGTATATACACGCAACAAAGATAAGAAGAGATGAATAATATATATATATATATATACTAAGCAATATAATGTGACAAAAAGAGTGAGAGAGACGAAAGATACTAAATAAGTGTTAATCTTATGTTAAAGTATTTTTATGCATTTCAAATTATAATTCAATAGCAAAAAGTTAACTCAGTTTAATAGATATCATAAACTAGTAAGAGTTAAAAAATTGAAGAGTTGACTTGAGGGTTGATGACCTTGATTTAGAGTGTAGATTTGAGAGCCGTTAAGATAACAAATATTTAAATAATATAACTACCAGCACAAATACATACCAAAAGCCAATATTTTCTTAATAGAAGTGATTATATGCTCTTACAGAAATGCAGGAGGTGTTTCCGATATCGTTGGCTTTGGCAACCACAAACTGAAGGCTTTCGAGCCAAGACATGCAAACCTGTCTCATAGTTATCACCCCTAGCAAAAGCTATTGACTCCTTCTGATTTAGCATTTCCAAGGCTAGATCTACAAGATGATCCAAATGAAGTTGATTACAAAATCTGATGACAGCATGCATCATTAATGAGGATACTTGTATATCTCCATGTTGGATTCTTCCCAAATTTCACTTAATTCAGTGTGGTCGTTGTTATATTTTTGTGATTCAAATGTTTAAAGAATTAAAATGTAGTCTTTCAAGAGTCGTTAATCAAACAATAAACTATTTGGCACTTTCATCATCATCTAGGAGGTTAAGTAATAAAATGGAGGGGAATGAAATTTATTTTCATTATTTAAATTTGTTAAATTAAAATGGAACAGAATGATATATAAAGAAATTGAAATAATTATATTTCATAAAAAATTTCAATTTTTATTCCCTCTCAATTTAAGTAGTTTCCATTTTATCATAATACCTTCAAATAATAGAGTGATAATTTATTCCATTCTATTATACTTTATTTTATTACTTTTGTTCTATTTCACTCTACTTAGTATGGAATATCTAAGCATAACCTCAAAGTCCTCCAAATTGTGAGAATTTTGAAATTTCTAAAAATTTATAAGATGTTAGGTATGCAACATGCTTACCGTATAGTCCAGAGTTTATACAAATGAGAAAGACTGCAGCCCAATCATCATCTTCTAGTATTTGTTTAGATTCATCAAACAGATACTTTGCCATTTCACTCCTTCCTTGCAACGCAGCCAAGTGAAGAGGAGTAACTCCTTCTCCACCCCTAATTCTTGGCAATGATTCATTCTTTTTGCGCATTATCTCAGCAATGTGCACATTCCCAACTGCAGCAGCAAAGCAGAAAGCAGTGTTTCCCTTGTCATCTTGTAATTCCAAATCATCACTTTGCATTAGTTTTACAAGCTCCTCAACAAAGTGAACATGGTTTGCTCCTACTGCAACATGGAGCACGGTGGCCCACCCCTTTGTTATGGCACTGTTCAGAAGTGTAGGATCTTCGTCTAATATTTTCTTAGCTTCTTTCCAATCACCTTTCAGTGCTGCTTTGTGAAGGGGAACACATTTGGTGAGGTATCTATGTCTGGCTTCTTCTGCAACAAGTCAATTGAAGTGCATCATATTGGGGTCTATCATTTGATTCAATCCTACCCTATTTCTATATAAATGAATTTTGGAGTGAATAATGCGGTTGATAAAACCACATAAGGGAGGGAATTAGCAGTAGTACTAGTATTCAAATTAACCATCGATCTGATGCATGAAAAAGTATTTACTACTCAATGCCATATGTATTTCTTCTATTAAAATCATGATGCTTAGCGCATATGGTTTATCTATTCCCTATTTGAGATTTTTTTTTTTTGATAAAAAATATGAGGAAATTCTAAAATAAGATTAGTAACTATCACAGGTATAATAGGAATATGGAAAAGTTGCCGAACATCCTTGACTTCACAAAGTAATGATTCTTTCAAGTTTTAAGAGAGACAATTGAGCTATGTATAAGTTCGCAACTTGAAGATGTCTATTAACCATTAAGTATCTCCTATTGTCTAGTTTTGATGAATCCAAGCTAATCCATCCAAGTTTAACAACATAATTCACAACAAAGTTAATGGAGCCACAGAAATTTGACCTATATTATTTTGCAACTTCAATTTGCTAGTTAAATTTATGAGTGTCAAAACCCAAAATTAAAAACAGAAAAAAGCATAACACGGGTACCTCTAATTATTAACCGCAATTATTTGTAACTAATTCACAAAAGTGAGGTGGGTTTTGTAATGATTTTTATTGGCCAAGTAGTATTGATAGTACTAGTTTGGTAGTTGGCCAGCTGGTCCTACATCTTTTTTTTTTTTTTTAATATTTTGCTTGGTCAATCTCAGATTACGTAGCCACAGAAAAAAAAATCCACATCTTATGAAAAGATAATTGGTAGCACTTTAAGAAGGAATAGAGAGCTTACGAGTGGACACTAGATGAAGGAGAGGCCTCCTAAACTGAGCTGAAGCAGCCCTCTGATACTGTCTTTGGAAAGATGTTGAGTCTGCTACGGCCATTTCTCTGTAAACATACCATACAAAATTACATCTTTTCAGTAATTAGTTGATTACTTGAATTTGCTTCACACCACAATCTTCTTATTTTATGATCTATTGGTGTTTTACAATACAAACTACTTTTTATTTTTAGAGCTTACGTAACATCAGAGGGAAAAGTGTATTGAGTGCCTACAAAATATAGCCCAATAATAATTAAAAAGTGATAATTTCATTAAAAGCGAACATTTGTATTTTTGAAGCCGTTAACATGTATACAACATGAGTAATTAAGTAATTTATGTTTAAATGTTTGAAAATATTTTAAATAGTCTTTATATAAAAAAAGGGTAATACTATTTTATACCTAGTGTAGGCGTATATGCCAGACACCCTATACAATTATAGTATAATTTTTTTTAATTTGTGTAAAATATTTGGTATAAACACACATATTAAGTATTAAAATAACATTACTCTAAAAAAAAAAAATTAAACAAACATAGGCTCAACCCATGTACAAACATAGGCTTCTATTAAGGCGAAGTCTTACAGACTAAAAGTATTTGTTCTTTTAATACCGATTTTGCAGGTTGTATAACCCATTCTTTTGAGAAGCGTATTCAATATATGTCAAAAGTGATTCTATAATTTAATTTTTAAACAATATAAAATCACTTTTTTTAAAAATAAAATTTGAAAGTGATATAATAATGATTTCTAAAATTTAATTTCTGAAAACATTAAATAGATTTTCAAAAATTAAATAATAAAAATAAAAAAGTGAAGCAATATAAGTAGCAAAATAAAGTTATACATAAAGCAATTTCCTAAAGTCAAATAGTTAGTGAGGGTTTGGACCAAAAGTTCAAAACTATGTTAGGTCGCAGCCAGATTTACCAAGAGAAAATATATTTTTATAATAAAGTTATATAATAATTCAAACAATACTTTTTTATTATTTATATTCATTATCTCTTTCTGACCTTTTCTTATAGTAAAAAATAGTTATATGTGTATGTGTAAGAATATAATATTTGATTAGGTAAATGTTGAGATTCCTAGTGCTGTAAAATTAAAATTTATAGATACAATTGTACTTACACTTACACGCTTGTCATTTCAAATCCGTAATTTTTATTGTCGAACTACTGTTCTTCTGCACGCCTCCGACAATGTTGTCTCCCTCTCAGATCAGTCTACCTAATATGTCGCAATCATTATTTACTGTTTCAAACAAATCTAACCGTTCATTTTTGCAAGGATCAAAATTTCAGCCAAGATTTAGCAGAAAAAAACATAATTTTAATCCTTTATAAAAAATTAAAACCACATCTTTTTTATATTTCTAAGAATTAAAATTTCACGTTAATAATATAAGTTTGCTTTTATGACATGTTCCCTTTTAACATAAAACTTTATTATATATACATAATTAAAGATATTTTTTACATTAATTAAATTTAAAATTTTTTATACTCAATTTAAGTCTTTTATTTATTTTATATTTATTCAATTAAATAATAAATTATATTATTAAATATAAATTAAATAATAAATTTAAATTAAATATAATAATTTTTAAACTTATATAAGATCATATTTTTATATATATTAGTGTAAAAATTTAAATTTTTACACTTAATTTTAATTTTTTATTTAATTTATATTTAATTATTAATAAAATAATAAATTAAAACTTATTAAATCTAAGTTTAATAAAAAAAATCGAATATAAAATTTTTTAGAATTAAGATAACCTGCATGTATATTAATTAAACGAAATAACAATATTACTGTACAGTTACCCAAGAACAACGGATAAGGAGATGCAGCAATGGCTAGTTAAGTGGCCTTCACCAGTTATGATTTTCCTTTTCCTCGGTACTTTCTTCTGCTATCTTAAATATACAAATTTTCTTCCTAAAGTAGTTGAAAATTATCGTCTCTCTCTCCATGCCTGAAAGCTCAAGATATTTTAAGAGATGAATAGATACCCACAGCAAAGCAAAATCTTTCAAAAACAGAGAAAATATTAGATCGACGGAAAAAGGTTTTAATTAAAAGGAAAATACTAATCTGATTCATCCTTGAAGCTCACTCTAAGTAAATATGAAGAAAAGAAAACATAATATAGAAAGAAGAGAGCTATTGGATCCATCTGCAGGAACATAAAAGGGGAAAGAGAAATAAGATTTGAATACCTGAATCAGAAAAGTTCAGAAGATTTCCATTTCCTCTTAGCTCTGCGTCGTGATTGGTTTTGCTTCCAAATTGCGAAATTCATGCGGACAGAGACACAACCGTAGTGAAAATCCTGTGCTTCGTCAAGAATAGTCCAAGTGAAAACAGGTGAATGCATAAACCGAAGACCCTCTTTAGGCTTTTTCTCAAGTCAATGATAAGGAAATTGATTGTTACTACGTCTCTGAAATAATTATTGGGTACCAAAGAATACAAAAAAGATTAAGTTGAGTTGTACCAATCACTGACCAATGGTACCTACGAACTACAATTTATTATTTAAGATGTACTATCACCACGAATTTTTAATCAATCAGCATTTTGAATCCTAACTTCATAAAATAAATGGTTAAATTATTTCATTAAACTAATGAGAATTAAAAATTAATTTCATTTGGAATTTATCTTTATAAAACATTATTTATCTGTAAATTACTTAATTACCTGCATTTGTTTTTAAAGGTTCAGAAACCGTACCTACAAATAGCTAAAACCTGCAAATTAGTGCTCTATTAAAAATTAGTATTTCGTAAGTTGTTTATTGGACTTGCACTACCTATAATTCTAAAAACAGGGTTGGTGAGAAAACTTGAATCCAAAAAGCAGTCATGCATGTCCCATTCATCTAATTTTTTGTGTTTTATATAATTTTAAAAATTAGAACATTTTAAAAAATTCAAAGTAACTAATTTTCACAATTATCCCTAGCTTGTTTTAAAAAATAGAAACAGTTTTAAGGAAACCACTTAATCTAATATATTAATTATACAATTTTATTAAAAGAAATATTACAATGTAGTAACTAAAAAAACTAGTACTTAAATTACATTATTATCTACTTTAACGTTAAATATTACAGTTTTTTTTTTCTCTTTTAAAAAATTATACATATCATATTATAGTTCATCTTAATATAAACGAATATAGTTAAAATATTAAGCAATTAAAAATAAGCCTTTTAGCAACATCGTTCTTCTTTCTACAACTTTTAGTTTGTTCAATAATAAAAATAAGATGAAATGGAAGGTTTTGAACTTTCCAAATATCAATTTAAAAGTTTTACTCAATTTTATTTTAAATTCTGAAGTCCTAAATTAGATAATGAAATTTAAAAATTGGTAATTGATAATGTTGAGAGTCCCAATTTTTTTTAAAAAAGAACTCTCTAAAGAACTTATTTAGAAGAAAGGGACATTTAAAATGAGCATCTATTAAAAAAATATTATTATTTATTCAAAACAAAATATAAAATTAGACTTTTAAATATTACGGTATTACCATGTTAATCTTAAAAAAAAAGTGTTTGATTGATTTTTCAAAATTTAAAATGTTAAAGTGTTTAGTTGTATTAAAAATGTAAAATTAAAATATTAAAATGATGATCTTAATATATAGTAAAATATTAGTTTAATAAAAAAAACTAGTCTAGTAAATATATTTTTCATTATACATACAGAAAAAAATACCTCATTGAAGAGTTTAAATTTAAATATGCCTCAGAAGAAATAGTATATAATAATTATTATATGATGGTTACTTTTAATTTGAGCAAGGAAAGCATATATTCTCTACTGACGTAGAATTGAAGTTAAAAAAAGGGTCAAAATGCTTATTTTTAGCTACTATCCATGTCTTCCCTATCCTGTTAACATTTCCGGCTTAAAAGGTCAAACAATGGATAGAAAGCTATTGGGTAGTCTTTGTTCGACACTATGATTATTTATTTTAATAAATTAAAGTATTTTGAATTTATTTTTTGCTAAAATATATATTAATATTTTTAAAATAATAAATAATTTTATATTTTTATCAAGTAAATAATTTAATATTATGATCTTACTTAATGTATTTTTAAAATGACTCTAATTAAATATTAATATTCAAATAATATAATAAATTGAGAATAGAGTGTAAATAAATCAATGATTAAATTTCACATATCATGAATATAAAATATTAAATTTTTAATAAAATGTAAGATTCATGTATATAATTCTTGTATTATCTTATGTGATATCAATAATATGCATATAAATTTTTATATAATTTGAATATTTATAGGCATATAATCTAATTTTTAATTTTTTTATATTTTAAAAATATATTACATGTTAAATTAAAATAATTCAATAAAATATTTATTTATTTATTTTTTGTATAAAATTTTGCAAAGTTGATTTATTAGATAAGAATCTTCAAATTAATAATCTGATTAATTAATCTCATATTTTATAAAAATCATTAAGTATTGTAAATTTATAAAATTAACATCTAATGTCAATAAGTTTTAAGTCTTTATTAAAAAATCAGTCATCCAAATTTTGAAGAACTTAAATATGACAAGAATATAAAATTTACATAAATAAAAAAATTATTAAGAGTGTTAAAGAATTTTTTTTTTAAGGGGATAAAATTGTTTCTACAACTTGTGGCAAGTTATTTGCATCGTTAACTGATATCATATTCTTTAATTCATTAGAAATAAGTATTTCTCTTAACTTGATAAACTCTATTATTTTTAATATAACATATTCTTACTATAGATATAGTTATAAAAAATAAAAACTACTTTAAAAAAATTAGTAATAGAGGTACGGACGTGGCAACCGACATACCCATTTTAAGATATCAAATTCATGCATGTTTTTTTATCTCTATTTTTTATCATATGATGTAAGATGAGTGGTGACGTTAAACAAAATCGTCACAAAGTTATTCATCAGTCAAGAATGGTAGGCTCCAAACACTATGTTGTTTCACTCATGCCGTGGGCCATTTTTACTAGAGTTATTATATATAAGAGTGTAATCAGTTTATATTTTAATAGAAATTTGTGGATATTAATGATAAAATGTTGGTCTAAAAAATAGTTAATGTGCTAGAATAATATTTTTAAAAAATTATAAAATTAATTTTGTGTGCATGATTTAGAAAACTCAGTTATAAGAATCATTTTGATTTAGAGCTTAATCGATTATTTATTACAATTGGCTCTTTCGAAAGGAAAATATTATCATTATCGTTTGACGGGTCTCGATCTTTGTAGAAATCAAGTGATAATCGACAACAAAATTGATTCCACACTTTCTAACGAAAAAGCAAACGATGGCTTATGGTAGGGTTCAGTGGGCAAATAATGATTGGCGCAAGTAATGTGCTGCGAAACTTCGTCAAGGCGTAGTAGGGGCCTGAGGGGCACTGCAACTAGCATTTGTTTTTTGTGTTTCTAGTTTAAGCCCTTAAGGTGGATAAATAGTATAGCAGATGCAAATTTTATATGACAAGATAAAACTTCCACCAACCCATCCACTGAGTACCTCAATACTAAATTAACAAACAATTTAGAGTTAAATATGTTCATCTGTCGTTCAAAAAGGCTGTAGTTTGATGGATCTCCTTTTTTTATTTAATCCTAAAATCTTGCAAAAATTAATGGCGAATGTGATTTTTATAATTGTGCATAGACACTTAATTGATTTTATTTTAAAAACCTTAGTCAAGTATTATCTCAAGGGCACCAATAAAAATAAGATTTAATTTTTATATTATTGAGAAGCATAATATGATAATATTAAAGAAAAAATATTTTTTTAATAAATTTGACTAATAAGTCCTATAACCAATTGTGGTGAATCCTTATTTAATAAAATCATATATTTTTTATCTTCAACATAATTATATCATGTTACTTAACATAAATGTATTCAAATTCTAAAATATTATTTAATATACCCTATTAATTATTTTTTCAAAATTAATACTTAATAAATTATACATTTTTAATTTAATAAGTAATTTTATTTTCATTTCCTTAATTAGCATTTAAAAAATTATCGTTAACATTGGGTTTGGATGGTTCAAGATTGCAGAGACCCAATCCACACACTTCCTAACACTTGAACAATTTTATCTTCTTTTTTCATTAAAACATGACACTATTCTACTCCCAAAAAAGCTTCGAAGAAGCAAGTTACGCTTCTATACCAATTAATCGATCATGGAGTAGTTCTTTTTATCGACTCATGAAGGCATGCTCAGTTATCAAACTTTCACACTTTCTTGTCAGGTGAAAAATTCAAGTTCACATCTTTTATGGAAATTAAACAAGTGGGGTCATGAATTTATAATGTACATCGAGTGTGAGCTTGTATGGATAACAGCAGTACAGGCCTACAACGTTGTACCCCCACCATCAGACATTAGAGATGCAGCAGCTGCAGCAGCAGTAGGAACAACACCAGTTGAAATGCCTGGTTTGGACAGGTGGAGAAGCCTGAGAAATTCACACCAAAGAATTGCATGGGTCAACGATCTATGCGAAGGACAATAATGAAAGCATGATATTCTTCTGCAAATTCAAATAGGGATTGCTAGTCCATCCGAATTATTAACTGGTAACTAATTCTAATATGATGGTAAGACCTTTGACAATCATGACTGAGCAATATAAAACAAACATAAGAAAGTTTATAAATCTAAGACCCATTGGCCGAATACAGATAAAATAAACAATATGGCCTGTAGGTGAGTAAAAGATTTGAATCAAGTACAGAAAAATGTATAATTGAGAAAACAGTAAACGATTCCTTACGGTGCAAGGTATTCACAAAAGGATGACACAGCAGCAGCAACTTCAGTATAGGTTTCAGCTGCTGCAGGCGCTGTTACTTCAACCATCTGTATACCAGGTGTTACTGGCACAGCCTCGTCAGTTGCATGCAGCTTTAGCATTTTATTGATTGATGAAACCGTTACAGTGATTTGTGCACCCCTGTAGAAATGGAAGGAAAATCCCACCCTCAGCAGCTCATGGTCTAATTTGTACCCCAGTGTACAAAACATACGAAGTGCATTCTTGCTCGTTTTGCTTTCCACCATTGACCTAACCAGAACTGAAATTTGCTCGGCACCAGCACCCCTCATTGCACCACCTACATGCCTAACAGTCCTGAACAAGTCATCAAGCACATGTTAAATGTGTACATGGTTATGCAAAAAGGTTCAAACAAGTTATTGACAGTTAAGTTGTATGGTTACCATGATGGTTCAGCTTGCTCTAGATCACACAAGAGTCGTACTTCTGAGGCTACAGTGCCTAGAAACAAAAGCCATAAAATCATGATTAATTGGTATACTCAAGAAAACTGGACATATACACAATTATTCTATAACCAGACAAAAATGTTGAGAGAATCGTTACAAATTTCATCCATCTGGGAACATACAATGCAGAATAAAGGGGCATCTTGGACGTGCATAAATTTCATCCAAGTTGAAGAACAGAAAGTGCAAAGCAAGACCATAACATGTAAAACTGTGAAAGGCAATACGAAAATACATCATGGGTCAAAAGAGGAGCATAAAGCATGCCATTTAGATGCCAGTCAACAGCAGATACTTAAGGATGTGCTTAATGCACATTGACGAAACAGCACAGTACAAGAAGCCAATTGACATCAAAACATTTTGTTTTGTCTGCTGTTTGGTGGTCAACACATAAGCAGTTGAGGAAATGGAGTAAGGGTTTGCACTGGGGATAGAACCAGTTGGGCTTGCTGGCTGTTCTCCATTGGCATTTATGAGGTTTAGCCAAATTGATGGATATTTATAATTTTTTGGTGCTGTGCATGGACAAGAACTTGTATCCTATTTTTTTAAAGTAAAAAGCACATCTTTTGTGAAGACACACTCTAACATACTATTTCTAACATACTCTTAGTCATTAGCTAAAATTTATTAAAAACAAAAAAATGTGGTCTCACTCTTAATTTAATAATTCCTACTTATACTTCTGTAATTTACAATAAATTTTAGTCAATGATTACAAGTGTGTCAAAGAGTGTAATGTTAGCAGTCCTCTTCACATAATCATTTTTAAAGGAAAATATGGATTTTGGTATTGTCTAGTCCTTCAATTTTTTTAAAAATCAAATCCACTCAATAAATAAGTCACTGCAAACTCAGGCTAGCACTTAATGTGCAAAAAGCATTCTGAAAATGTTAACTTGTTTAATCTTACAGAGGCCTGCTGCTAATCATATTTGGTATCTGGACCACTCTTTTTGGAGCCTCCAAATATCCTGGGTATTTCCTCCCAATTGGAAGCAATTTTCCAATCTTGCATTTGGAGGCTCAGGAGAAAGTAAATTTTGGGCAAGGTTCTGGGGTGAAGAGCTCCTTTTCTGCTTTGATGCAGTGAGGTGAAGGATGACACTTGTATGCTGCTGTTATGAAATAGAATTGTTTCTCTCTTTTTTGCCCTGTTCATCTCATGAATATTCTCAGCCTCTAAAGGGATTGCTCTTTAAAGTCTTTGTTGTATTAACATCTGTTTCCCTGGTTCCTAATGTAAGTTGTTTTATGTTTGTTTTCCCCAGGAAAATGATATTCTTTCCCTTTTCCTTAGTAATACAAATACTTTTAAACAACAAAAGAAAAATGGAAATGTTGTTGGCCATAAAATGCTTAATATTGGAATGAAACACTCACCCAGATGTGGAGCACTCTTTAGACATATTTCATGGATCCTCAATCGTTCTCTCTGAACACCACATAGTCCTTGAAGAAGAATCTCAAGGGCCTCAACATGCTGCAGAAGATAACAAAATACCACCTGTCAAGATTTTCTCATACACAGTCTTTACACATGAAGGTTACCTTCTGAAAACAATTGTAATTCTTGTTATCATTTAGTAATTAAATTCGCTTCGTCTATGCACTTAAGCTTTCTTGTTTGAATTTTGTTTGAGAAAGGGGTATAGTCCAGCAGCTGCTCAATCTTGTTCCTTAACTTTAACACCTAGGGCACTTGGGTTACCGGAATCTTAAGCCAGTAGAACTCAAATACTAAATGCAATCAAGTAAGCAACTCGATAGCAACCACGTTAAATATTATCACAGCTACATGAAGCATGTTGAACTACAATAGCAGCAAGTAAAATTTCTGACAGCAGGACACCAACACAATGGCTAAGCGGAATCTAATTAACTCAAGAACTTCTCCTATATACTTCAAAGAAAACGCAATTAAAACTCTGCAGAAAATATAAACCCACCTGTGTCTCTATAATACCCTGAACCACACATTCCATATCGGCTTTGCTCTACAAGACATGTTATGAAAATATTTATGTAATTAAACATTGAAATAAATAAATCGAATATTTATAAGCAAGACTGAGAGTTGAAGGATTGATGTTGTGTGATGCGCACACAGAACAAAAGACACTAACCTGAGGTTGCGATTCAGAGGGTAAAACGGAACGGAGTGATGGACGGAGTTAACAATAGCAGAGGTGAGCTGCGATCTGCGAACAACGTCTTGCGACCAGCTTCTCAGGCGTTAAGGTGCCACGCTCGACGACGGTGCTCGCTTGCGACGATGCTATTGCTATGCTCCACACTCAATCGAGTCTTATTTTAAACGAAAGTGATTTTAGTATATATTCTCTTTTTAATTACGATCTTCCTCTATCTATTTTTTTTTATATTTTAATTTCAATTTTTAATTTTATGATGCATTTTTAGAAGAATTAATTGTTCATATTTTAATTTTAACAATTTTAAATAATTTTTAATATAATAAATATTTATTACTAATAATAAGAATACATTCTTTTATAAAATTATTATTTTTTAAAAATATGTAACATATTTTTAATAATTTAAAAATTATATTAATTTCCTATAGTGCATAAGAAATTTACTAGTTATTTTAAATTATTTATTTTGGAAAATAACTATCTCTTAAACAGTAATGGTTAATTTATGTTTTATTGGGTACATAATATTTCAAATATTATATTTATTTTTAATTTTTTGTAATATATTTTGATTTACAACTATTATTATTATTATGGTAGTATTTATCAATTTATTATAACTATGTACATTTTAAACTATTGCATTAAACTAAACAAATGATATTAAACATGATCGATTTGAGGAAATAATATTTTTAAAACTATAAAATATATATAAAAAATTTAAACATACGATTAAATTAAAATTTTATTTTTATTAACATAGTATGTCAAAATAAAAACTAAATTCAAATTAAGATTATATTAAATTTAAAATTTAGTTTCTCTATTTTTCAATATATATATATATATATATATATATATTTCAATATTTAAAATTTAAATTAAATTAAAATTCGAAAATAAATGATATTTGAGAAGAATGAGAAAATGGAATCTGAGTTTCTAAAGTCATCTAATATGTCGGATTGCTCTTCCTTTGTGCCTCTTCAACACGCAGCCCTCGATGATAAAAACAGAAATCCTCTTCATCCATCAAGTCTTAGAAATCAAGTTCCACTCCTTTGCCAAAAAATAGCTTCCACAATTTGAAGGAGATTGGTTATTTTTTTCTTTTACACCTCCCTTAACAATTTTTAAAAAATTTTCCTCTGCTCAAGTATTTTTCATCAATTGTTTGCTGGAGCATATATATGCAGATGACACATTGCTGTCTGTTGTAAGAGATTCTTTCTCAATAGTGTTTGCTGCAGCCACGAATTGGACTGTGTTCCATTATTAGTTTGCATTTTTAAAGAGTTTTTCTTTTACTTGTAATCTCTGTGAATCCATTATTCAAGACAAATATAATGGTTGTAAGAGTTCTGTTTTATTTTTTAAAATTTTTTTATGACAATTATATGTAATATGGATGCACAAGCAAACAATTGTCTTAAATTACAATAGGAATGGATGATAAGAAGAAAAAGCATGGATGTAGCTAAAATTTCCTCAGTAATCGGAATTTGCTAGAATTACAACTTACGAAGAGGGATAAGTACTTAATTAACACATTATAAAATCAATATTTACAATGTCTCTACTTTTCTAGTAAAGAAAGTGTTTATTTGGCCGAAATAGAGACCTGCAAGAATAGGTTGAGTGAACAATGTCCGACCATAATGGAAACAAAAGATATGTGAATAAGGCAATTGGTATAAAAGCAAATATGGAAATAAAAATGGGTACCCATTTTAAACCACGGTAATATGTTATGTTGAAGGCGCTACTAAATGCCACCATCATGCTTGCTATGGAGATGAATAGTGTTACCAGTCCACACATTAGCTTCAAGGGCAGTGACTTGAAAAAATCATCCTCAGTGTAACGTGCTATAGCAAGGATAGACAAGAAAATTAGAATTGACATTGAAGATGATATAAGTGCAGTTGCATCTGATATTGCAAATATTAAGAATGCTGATTTGTTCAAATAGTTGGGGGTGCCATTTTCATTATTATCACCACCCGGTATGCTGAATGCAGCTGTAAACACTTCTGTAGCAATGAGTGTTGAAACTAGCATACAAGAATTTGCCGTGCTCTTCATCCATGACTCTGCTTTAGTTAGTAACTCTGTATGCTCTTCTGTGAATAATTCTCGAGGGGTTTTACCGTTGGAATTTCTCTTCTCTATGAAACAAGGTTGCATGATTTTCTTTACCTCCTGTAACATAAAATCTCTGTCATTTCCTGTTTTTATAAAATCTTGCTATAGCCTAATGATGCATGGAATTGGCAAATAGAGACATAAAATAGAAATTGGTATGTGATCCATACTGATGCAAGAAACAGACTCCCAAAAGCTAAATTATGAATTATCACGAGTACATGTACAATTTCGTTCCTAAAATAGACAACATGGGTTGATTGGTTCCTGTGTACATGATTTATAGCTTTTAAATGCAAATTTACTTTAATACTCCTTACTTGAAACTTTTGTGTTAGATTCATATTTATACATCTTTTAACAAGAATTTAAACACACACTTAGTGAAAACACATAAGAAAGATACATAAAGGTAGATGTTAAAACCCCACAGCATGTAGCATTAAAGTAAACATAGATTTATAATCATTTAAATGTGAATTTAAATATACATTTATTTCTAAATTTATGAAGTTAATAAACAATTAGTGGCCAAATTTGTAAATTTTATGAAAAATTTAGTTTTTAATTTTAATCAGTTTCATGTTTAGAGGGCCAATCAGTCAAGAATTTGATAATGAAGATTAAATTACTTACTTATACACAAACTTTCAAGTATCAAATCAATATAATTTGTTATTTTCAAGACAAAATACCATGTTTACTTAATCATGGTCCACTTTGATTTTAAAACAATACTAATAACATTTTTTTTAACACGTTTTGAAATAATACTATTTGTGATTAGTCAATTTTAAAAAAAAATTAAAGTGCATGTATCATAATTTGATTATTGTTTAAGCAATTGTTTTGACTTTTTTAAAAATTTATCAATTATAAAGAATGAGTTGAAGAATTTATTTTAAAAATATGTTATCAGAATTCTTCTTTGAAAATAGAGGAAAATAAGAAAAATATAGAATAGATTCAAAGGAAATAAACATTGAGCTGTGGAAAATAAGAAGAGATACCTCATACCACCGTAGCTCATGCATCATTTGAAAAGCAGCTCCTGATACCAAGTTAAGTCGGGCAGGTGGTGCTAATTTTGCAGCACAATGGAGTAAATTGTTTTGTTCTTCATCCTCAAAAGTTGCTACAAAATTCCTGATAGAGCTAATTTCATGTATTAGATTGAATATGGATGCATGGCGGTGTAAAACAGCAATGTGAATGATGCTTCGATTTCTGGTATCCACTTCCCATGTGAGATCGGGGTAAGATCTAACCAGCTCAGCCAAAATCTCAAAATTTCCAACTTCTGCAGCAATGAATATTACTTGACACGGTTCACTTATCACTTTTTTCATCTGTGTCTCTGTGCAATCAAGAGAAAGAAGTGTTTCCCAGAGACACCTAACTAGTTGGAGAGCCGAAGTTGGACTCTTGTTACCTATCACACATAATTTCAAGAGTTCATTATACGATGATAAACTATAAACCATCAAATCAATTATTTTTTATATATATAATAGCTTATGATATAAATTTAACCATCTTTTGAATAGGAGTGAGTTTGTGGAGTTTGTGCAACTTACAGTTGATAAGCTGATTTGGGTACCTATGACCATGACAACTAAAAGCTGAAGGCTTTCGCGCCAAAACATGCAGCCCCGTTTCCTTGTTCTCATTTCGAGCCAATGCTAACCCTGGGTTCGTTTGTAACATTTTTAAAGCTAAATCTGCAAAAATTCCAAGTTGCCATAATTTAAAATACACATACCACCACCATAATAGCAGCTACTATTATTATTATGTCCTTTTTCTTCTCTTTTACCATCGTTAATCTTTAATTAAATAAATTTAATTTCTTTAAGGTAGGGATACGTTAAAATAAAAAAACTAAAGATATATTATTATTATTGATTTAGATTAAAGTATCTTATTATTTCAACTTGATTTAATTAAATTAATGATAAATAAATTCCTACGCTGCCACAAGACTTCCTTTTATGCAAAAACAGGGGAAAAAGAGAAATTCAAATTAAGTCAAAATATCATTAATAAAAAACGTTTTAAAACATATTATTTCCCATTACTCACTTCTATCACAAGTGAAAAGAGTCGTTATGTTAATATTTTTTTATTTTAAAAATAATGTTACATATAAAGAAAAAGGCGACAGTGTAAAATAAGTATAGTAAAACAGTGTGTAAAATTATCATTGTTCTATGCTATATGATGTTGGAAGTCTACTGTGAATTAACTTCTTTTAACTATTGATTGACAATTCATTTTGAAAATCTTGAGCTAGTAAAAACCCTACACCTAAAATCCATAGCTAACTTGTAGCAAATATATGATTTGATAAAAACAAATTCTCATATCAGAAGTCGATAGCTGTCGTTTTGCCCAAACATACGTATGATTATATATGTATGATATCCACGAATAATCACATGACATGTCACTAAACTTCCCAATTCAGGATAGGAATATATTATAATGTGGCCACATGTTATGCAACAATTTGTCAAACCATTAATACTGACACATAAGAGAAAGATTCATAATTTCGAGAGCATACAAAAAAATGATCAAATAGGAGGGGGTATTATGCATACCATAAATAGCAGTGTTGATACAAGTGAAGAACAGCAAACTCCAATCTGCGTCATTGAAAATGTGGACTGTGGCAGGGTAGAGATACCTTGCCATGTCAGATTTTCCTTGCAAAGCAGCCATGTGAAGTGGGGTGAGTTCTTCTCCACCCCTTATAGTTGGCAACTTCCTATTCTTTCTGGCCATGGCTTCAGCAATTCTCACATTTCCAACCGCAGCAGCGAAGCAAAACGCAGTGTTTCCTTTGCAGTCTTGTGTTTCTAACTCTTCTTCGCTTAGTAGTTTAACTAGCTCCTCTACGAAGTGCAAGTGATTTGCTTCAGCTGCAACATGCAACAGTGTTGCCCATCCCTGTGAAATGGCAGCGTTCATCAACCTCCTATCTGCAATTAACATGG